AAAAAAAAAAAAAAAAAAAAAAAAAAAAAAAAAAAAAAAAAAAAAGACCTAACGGGCAAATAAAAGTATTTGTGTAGCAGAAGTGCTCACCCTGTATTGTAGCATATGGAAGAGGATTTTTATACGACATTTTTATGGATTATTTTTTGCGATTTGAATCTGGTCCAAAATTAATAATGATTAGGGTTATGGGGAGAGTGGTTTGGAGAGGGGGGAGAGGAGCAGGGAGAGCTGGGACCTGGCATTGCATCCCCCTGAGGAGCCTCTGTCCCATCTCTGTCGCTGCTCCAGGTGTGGACAGTTGAGCTGGGGTTGGAAGGAGGAGAGATCTCATGGGAAATCATTATTTTTCCCATCAAAATAAGAGGGTTTTGAGATTTTTTTTGCCCTTTTCAAAGTAGAAGTAAGGGAAGGACCCAGGCCCACTTGGTGTGTGGGATCAGTTTTTGGGCACTGATGATCCAGCAAAGGAAAAACCGAGTTCTTTAAAGCTGCTTTTAGGGCAAGTGATTTCAGTGTGGTTTGGCTCAGATTAATGACTCTGAAGGTGCCCCTGGCGCTAACAGGAGGGGTTCAGCGATGGCCCCGCTGTGTTTTGGGGCTCAGGTTGATCCTGGGGCTGGTTGGGATCTGTGAGGGCAGCACTGCCCGTTCCCCCTGTGCCCCCAAACCTGGGCACAGCATCCCCTCTCCGTGGCCTTTGGAGCATCCCCATCTGCACAGATGGGATGTGTTGGAAAGGCCTGGGGGGGCCTCTGACCTGCTCCCAGGGCAAAACCCTCCAGCAGTGGGGTCACCCCCAGCTTTGTGTCCCCCAGAGTCACTGGTTTGCAGGTCGGTGCTTGGTTTTCCTCCCCGAAATAACAAGAATAAAATCCAGGAACTGCATGTACCGGAGCTGGCCGAGCGTTCCGGAGTCAGGCTCTCAACTTTACACCAAAGTATGTAGCAGAATCTGTACAGCTGTTAATAACTACCACTGGTTTTTGTAAAAAAGGGCAAAAAAAGAGAAAAAAAAAAAAAAAAAAAGAATAAAAAGTAAATGTACTGAAGCTCAACCGAAAGCAAAGTGTCTCTAAACCCTCTGATCCCTGAAATCCTGCCCTGAGGGGTTGATAAAAGTAAGAGAAGGCCTGGGGGGCACATGGGATGATGGTGGAGGTCAGATGTGCAAGAGCCGAGCTCAGGATTGGCGGGAGAAGCCCCCTGAGCTCCCAGCCCTTGGCATCTCCCCCCTCCCATGGTGCCAAGGGACGGGCTCCACCTTGGGCACCCCCCATCGCCCTCAGACAGCCCAAACCCCATCCTCCCCTTTTCCATCCCAAAGGCATCGCCAGCAGCTTTATTTGTGTTCCTGCCAAGACTTGGGGATGCAGGGAATGGGGTACCCAGCACCCAGGGGTGCCCAAGGGCCCGGGCCCATGGGCTGTGTGTGTGCCCTGGCATTCCTGTGCTCCAGCCCGGGCACCCCTGACAGAGACAAAGCACTTTCCTTGAACTAGGACATATGTAGGGTCCTGCGGGGGCTCCCGTGATGGATTGGACATGACAGGGCCTGCTGCGAGGGAGAAATAAAAAGCAGGAGCAGCACTCTGCCCGCTTGGCTTCCCGATAATGTGCAGCGGGAGAGGGTTAGGAGTGCATTTCAATCTGATTTTAAGCTGGATGGAACGAGGGGCTTACACAGGGGACCATTAAAAGATCAAAATTGCGAGCAATCCTTTGTTGGAAGATTTGGATTCCGGGGGCAGGGGAGCGGAAGGGCCCCGGCCCGGCCCCCCCCGCGCTGCCCCTTCGGCACCTGAGCGGCTCCAGCTTCTCCTTTCAACAGTTCCCAGCAAACTGTTGCCCTTTGCAGCTCATTTGGTCGGGCTCCAGCCTTTCCAAGTGCCCAGGGAGGAGGTGCTGGAGCCAGGCCGTGCTCTCTCCCGTTCCCATTTATGCCCAACAGCCGGACAGGAAAGAACTCCGAGCCCTCACACTAAATTATTTTAAAATTATATATTCATAAGGGCTTTTTTTTAATGTGCTTTTAGTCAGGCTTGGGTGGTGCTGTGACACGTTGGGGGTGTGATGGCAGAGACTTCACGCAGCAGCTGGAAAATCCAGCGGGAGTTACTGTGGGATCCCCCCAGGATGTGCAGGTTGGCCATGGCCTGGCATCCTGGCAAACAGCACCTTCTGGGGGGGCATTGCCCACTTTTTATCAGAGATTTCCTTCTGCGGAAGTGCTGGGAAATGGGCAGAGCTGTGCCACGTGTGCTGTGCCACGCTGGGTGTTCTGTGCCATGCTGTGCCATGCTATGTGTGCCATGCTGTGCCATGCCATGCCATGCCATGCTGTGTGTGCCAGTCTGAGCCATGCCATGCTGTGTGTGCCAGTCTGAGCCATGCCATGCTGTGTGTGCCATTCTGTGCCATGCCGTGCTTTGTGTGCCATTCTGAGCCATGCCATGCTTTGTGTGCCATGCTGTGCCATGCCATGCCATGCCATGCTGTGTGTGCCATTCTGAGCCATGCCATGCCGTGCCAGGCCATGCCGTGCCATGCCATGCCCACCCCAGCAGGGCATCAGGCCACACGGGGCTGTGCCCCAGGCTGTGCCCCATCCCATCCATGTGCTTTGCCCACCGTTCCCCCTCCCCCTGCCCGCTCCCTTATCCCGGGCTCTGTGCCCGGCTCAGGGAGCAGCTCACCCCGGGGGTGCCCAGGGCATCACCCCCAGAGCGGGGCACCCCGGGAGCCCTTTCCCAGCCCTTGCCATCCATCCCCCTCCCGCCGCCGCGGCACCCGATCCATCGCCGGGCTGGGAACAGCATCCCCGGGCTGGGAACAGATGGCAGGAGGAGGCTCGGGGACACCATCAGCTGTTGTTATCGCTGGCTGATGACACGGAGTGTAAATTCTGTTGGCACTACTCCCTTCGTCTGTTCTGCCTCTGCATCCCACCAGTTTTAATTACTGTAATTGAGTTATAATGAATGATTGTGCGCTGCCATTGTCTGTAATGTGGCGGGGAGGCTCCGGTGCCGAACGCACTCCAGCTAACGACGAGCCCCTCCTCGCGCTTTGTTTATCTGGTTGAAGGGTGTCATCACTTCAAATGGCACAGATAAAACAGCAGCAGAGTGGCTGCCTTTAGATGTTTATCGTTTTTCTCTTCTCAGGCGCTGGTGCTTCACTGAATCCCAGTGGAAAACTGCAGAAACAGATAAAAACTAATTTGGCTTAATCCCTCTTGGAAAAAAAAAAAAAACAAAAAACAACAAAACCAACAACAACGAGCAGAGCCAACGCAAAAAGCAGAACACCACAACAGCAAAAAATCAAACCCTGTGGAGCTTTTTCACGCTGAAAAAAAATCATTAGCGGGGTTGGCACACAGTGCCCGTGGCAGGAGGGGGGCAGGAGCCTCTCCAGAGGGGACTGGTGGCACTGGGGGCTTGGGACAAGGGACAGGACAAGGGGAACGGCCTCCCAGTGCCACAGGGCAGGGTTAGGTGGGATATTGGGAAGAAACCCTTGGCTGGGAGGTGGGCAGGCCCTGGCACAGGGTGCCCAGAGAAGCTGTGGCTGCCCCTGGATCCCTGGAATTGTCCAAGGCCAGGTTGGACGGGGCTTGGAGCAACCTGGGCTGGTGGAAGGTGTCCCTGACCGTGGCAGGGGGTGGCACTGGATGAACTTCGAAGTCCCTTCCAACCCAAACCATTCCAGCATTCGATGATCCACCTACCAAAAATCCCCCTGCTTCCCTGGATTTCCCTCCCTGCCAGTCACACTCCTGTCCCCAGGGCTGTCCCCTCAGCCCCTCGTGTCCCAAGGTCTTGTCCCATGGCCAGCCCTGCTCAGGGGGGTGGTTATTTGCTTTAAATCCTCACCTCCTTGACCCACCAGTGTGGGATGAGCCACCCCACATCCAGCTGAGCCCGGAGCATCCCTGATCTCTGCCTGGGAAAAAACCCTCTGCCACTGCCCAGCCAGGATTCAGGGCTGGTGGGATGACTGTGGTGGGTTTTTTTTGGGGGGGGCCCTTCCTCACACAGCCCTGTGTGTATGTGCACTCACTCAGGCAGCCCCGTTATCATCCCCCCATCTCCCCCCCTCGAGGGGCTTCTGGGGGTTTCTGGCTTTTATGTGCAACAATAAAAACTTTCATTGTAGCAAAACATTGGCTGGTCAAAATTAGCCTCGTTAATTCCAGGGAATTGTTTCATCTCAGCTCAACAGTAATAATGAATTTTTTTTCTTTTTTTTTTTTTTTTTTTTTTTTTTTTTTTTTTTTTTTTTTTTTTTTTTTTTTTTTTTTTACAAGATGAATTGGTGAACAGCCAACTTCCTCTGGGGTAATTCCTGCCTCGTGTTGATCCCGCTGGAATTTACCTTGGGGAAAAAAAAAAATTTAATAAAAATTAAAAAAAAAGAAAAAGGGGAGGGGAATAAAAAGGCAAGGAAAAAAAAAAAAGGCAAGGTTTGAACGGATCAAATGCTGCTTTTCATAACAACATGTTATTTAGCTCAGCCATTTACTGACAGCGCACAGATGGAGCCAAGGCTTTTACACAACACGCTCCCACAACACTTCCCTGCCGAGCCAGCTCCAGCCCAGCAGGAAAAGCGGGAGCACACAGGAGCCTTGTTATCCCTGGGGAAGCCCAGGGGCACCCGGGCAGGGCTGCCCTGAGAGATTCCTGCCAGCTGGGCCCCTGTGCTGGGGGGATCCT